ATATATATGCTTGTTTGAATATTCTTTTTAAGAATTCAAATTTTCAAATATTAGTTAATTAATAATTATACACTTTATTGATGATTAATACGGATAGAGGAACTTAAGTCCATTTTTTAAAATGATTATTTGAAAAAAATAAAATTTGTACACTCTTTTTTACCACAAATTTTTCAAAAAATTATTTTTTTTACATTTTTTTCTACTTTTTAATCACACGTCCTTTTAAAAAAATCATTTAAAAAAAAATCACTTTTGGTTCCATGGTTTCACTTAGCAATTCCTTGTTTCCTAAAAATCTATTTACAATTTTACATTATTTCCAAGGAGGTGTTTAATGCACATTCTAGAGAAAAAAATACATTTGATGATGTGATGAAAAATATATAGTTAAAAAATAAGATTTTTTTTTTTGGATTTGCATGTAATATTATTTTATTGCAAAATATGTGATTGAAAATAAGTTTTGAAAGAATGAATTTTTGTGAGAATGTGTATCAAACTTGTGCCAAAATACATTTTTCTTTATCTTCTTTTTAATCACACATTTTTCAATAAAATAATATTACACGTAAATCCAAAACTTTTCCTTATTTTCAATTTACTATTCCAAAATACATTCTTACAATAAAATATGACTCAAGCACGCTCTTACTAAAAAATATGGTAATTAGCACATAACGTCTCCACTCTTCACTGCTATTCATTTTTTGGCATTTTCGCCCTTGTTTCCACCATTCATTATGCAAAAAGTCATTTTCATCCATTTTCTCAATTAAAAATTGTAAAGTAACAAATATATCATTCTCTTTAAATAAAACAAAAGAAAAAAATTAATTGCAATCATAGTACCAATTTTTAAAAAAATGCGCAAATGAGTCTCAAATAAATTATTAAAAGGACAATTAATACATAATGTCCATACCTTTCACTATTATTTCAAAAAACGTCTCTACCTTTTTTTTTTTTTTTGACATTTTCACCTTAATTACACATTTGATTACACAAACCATCATTTCTATTCATTTTCATCCAATTTTATTTAAATAAAAAAATAAAACAATTAATTACAACCATAATCCATTTTTTAAAAAAGTGCAAACGAGTCCCCAATAAATTATTTTAAAAAATTTATTTTTTTAAAAAAAAGTGCAAACGAGTCTCAATTAAATTCATTTAAAATAATTTTAAAAAACATAAAAATTGCAAATGAGTCTTAAATAAATTATTAAAGAATTAAAAAATATTTTAAAAAATATTTTTTTATTTAAATAGGAGTGTATATTTATTATTTCACAATTCTTTATTGAGAAATTCGATGAAAATGGATGAAATGATGGTTTGCGAGATCAAATGTGTAATTAATGGTAAAAATGTCAAAAAATGAAATGTATGGATTTTTTTGCAATAACGGTGAAAGGTATTGGCATTATAATTACCTTTTTAATAATTTACTTGGAACTTATTTGCATTTTTTCAAAAATATTTGGGACTATGATTGCAATTAATTTTTTCTTTCTTTTTTCTTTTTATTTAAAGAGTGGTACATTTGTGATTTTACAATTTTTAAGTGAGAAAATATATGAAAAAGATCTTTTACGCAATAAAATGTAAAAATGTAAAAAAATGAAAGATATAGACGTTTTCCACAATAACAATGAAAAATAGGGACGTTATATGCTAATTACCCATAAAAAAAATATCTATACTAGGACCGCCCTTGGCTCCACCACTGGAAGCAATTCATGGATGTGTTAACTTTTGGTTGAAAGGCAAACGTCAATAGAATGAGACACCTTTGTTTTGATTTTAATATCTTTTTGACAAAAGATATTTTTCCAAAGCAAAAATGTTAATTTTGATTACATATTTCGTAAGATTCATAGGTACTATACACTTATACATCATTCATTTCTTGAAAAATAGAATTTTAACAGAAGTAAATACATTTCTAACAGTTAACTCTACATGCAAAAAATGTCAAAATAGTGTCTTGTGTAAAGTTGATTTTCTACGAAGTGATTTTGTGAAAATCGATTTTTTGTTGGAAAATGTGTGGTTGA